ATTAATTAATTTTATTGGTACGTTTAAGGTATACAGTGTAATGACATTCATCATTGGAAATTTGCATCTTTACGTAATCTATCCTCGGTCTTATTTCTTCCACATTCTCCTGTCCTCCCTTCAACCCTTCCACCTCTCCCTGTCTACAAAGACTTTGTTTCCATTGTTTCTTTTTCTCATGTTAATTCCATTCCCATCTTTCCTTCTCCTCCCCCTCCCATTTCCCCTTCCCCTTTGCACCTTTTCTTCCTATTTCACATTATCTATTATACCTTTTAGTCCTTATTTATGCTTTCAGTTTCTCACACTAGAAAAACTATTTGGTATTTACACAGATGAGTCCTAGTTATTTCACTTAAGAGTATCACCTCAATGTGCATCCATTTAGCTATAAAAGTCTCTAGTTTCTCATTCTTTATGGCTGAGTACTACTCCATTTTATATTTTTAAAAAATGTTCTTTATCCAGTCTCCTGTTGATGGGCAATTGTGTTGCTTCCAAGTTTTAGCTATCATGAATTGTGATGCTATGAACATGGGCACATGTATCACTGTGGTATGATTCTTTTAATTCTTTGGGGAAGATACCCAGCAGGGGAATATCTGGATCAAATGGGACCTCCAATCCTAGCTCTTTGAAGTATCTTTATACTGATTTCCACAGTGGTTGCCCAGTCTACATTCCCACTAGCAGTGGGATTAATTCTCCTGGGCTTTCTGGGGTTGTAATCTTCACTGTTTTTTCCTAGGATATTGTTTAAATTTTTTGGAGTTCTGGTTTAGTATTCATGAAGTTCCTAAGGTGCTCTTTGTCATGAAACTATCTTATTTCTCCATCAATTTTGAAAGATAGTTTTGCAGGGTTCATCAATCTGGGTTTGAGGTTGTTTTCCTTTAGGACTTAAAATACATCACTCCATGGCCTTCTTGCCTTGATCATTTGTGTTGAGAAGTCTGCTGTGAGTCTGATGGGCTTTGCTTTGTTTGTGATTTGTTTCTTTTCTCTAACTGCTTGTAGAATTTTGTCCTTGTGTTAGGTTTCTGGAATCTTAACTATTATTTGCCTATATGTAGATTTTTGGATCACAGCTACTTGGAGTCTATAAGCTTCACTTATCTGTAAGTCAGGTTCACTTTTCCTATTTGAAAGTTTTCTGCCATAATTTGGTAAACATTTTTTAATGTCTCCTGCATTCCAGTTTCTTCATTGCTTCCAATTAGTCTTAAATTATTCTTCTTTGAATCCTTTAGCAGTTGCTTGATTGATCTCTCATGGTCCCTTACTATTTGTAAGAGATTTTTCTTTTCTGATCAGTAATTGCAACCCTATCTTCTATATCTGAAATTCTGTCCTTGTGTTGGCCTAGTCTGCCATGTAATCTTTCATTGCAGTTTTTAATCTCCTGGAAATCTGTTTGTATCTGTTTCATGGATTCCATTTGTTTCCAATGTTAAGATTCCATCATGTTCCTCAGCTCCCCTATTTTTTTTAATCTGTGCCCAATCTAGATTTATTAACCATGTCTTGCATTTTTGTTGCAGAAGGAATTGGCAAGTGACACCCACAGAGATGAGCTGAATGGAAGTCAAATAATATAAGGTTTATTTTGTTAGCAAAAGATGATCGCACTAAGAACAGTGTCAGTGATAGACCTCATACTGGGTTGCAGCTTCTTTCTTTATATATTTTACAGCTCTCATTCATTCATGTGGCTGCATTTCACTTCCTCAGTTCACATTTCCCATGTACAAATTACAGTAACAATCCAGTTAACTTTAACCCAGATGTAATAATTCTTGTAGTTAGGGAGTTTACTTTGAGATTTCTCTAGCTGTCTATTCTAATGTACAGGAAGTTGGTGTTCAAGGTCCAGGATGAGGCCAGATGTCCTATTTCACAGTCAATGCCTCCAGTGTCTGTTAATTTTTAACTAAACAAAGCAGATTGCTGTTAGAGACAGCTGAAGTCATGTTATATTTTTTAACATTATATAGATTTTTAGATTATTTGCAAAAGTTCTCTTTATCACTGTGGGCATGTTACCTGTGAAATTATTTCTGACTTCATTTGGCCATATCCTCTTGTATTGCAAGTTCAGGGAGTTCAGGTGGTTGAGTATCAGATTGTTCCATCTTGTTTCCCTTTGGGGTTGCCTTAAGTAATCTAGAAGTCTGGTTTTGACACTTATTTTCGTGTATGCTTCTTGTTTCAAAACATGCATCCTGCTGTGTCTTTGCTGAGGCAACTTTTTTTATTACTCAGTGGTCCTCAGTTTTCAGCAGGCCACTGAGTATTTACTTTGCTGCTCCCTTAGTATACCAATTCCTGGGTTTAGAAGGGTGGCCTTCTATATCCCTGAGCTGACCTGTTGTCTGAGTGGGCTTCTGGCTCTGGCCTGTGCACACTTGAGGTCATATCCAGGTATGCCTCTTGCTGGGGCTCTTATGTAGCTGTTGTCTAGGGGCATTTGGCTGGTGGCTCTGTATTCCAGTTCCTAGTTGTCTGTATAGCTTTCTTACTAGGGTCTTCAGACACTTATCAGTGGTGTGGGGTGACTCTTTGGCTGTTGCTTGTGTGTCTGTGTATTTCTTTTCCAGGTAAGCTCACAGCTGTGGCTGATGGTAGGGTGGAACCCTGGATGAAGTTTTCATGCTTGTTCAGCTCTTCTGTAGGTGAACTGTGGCTTGGGCATGAGTACTTGCACCTGTGGGGTTGGGCAGGGTGAGGCCCTAGCTGGGATATTCCTGCATCCCTGTTACTTTGGTCCACACAGTTGCTCCCCAGAATGTATGTACACTTACTAATGATATGGCAGAACTCTGGATGAAATTCATACACCTGTGCAGCTCTTTTCTAGGCATCCCATGGTTTGTGGACATGTGCTCACACCTCTGGACTTCAGGCAGGGTCCTAGCTAAGACCAGCCTGCAGCTGCACCACTTTGGTCCACACACTTGCTCTCTGGTATGTGTGCGTACTTACAGCAGAACTCTGGATCTTGAATTTTAATATTTGTTACTTTTTTTCTAATGCATAATACTTGTGTCTATAGCCAATTCGAAAACATTTCCAGGCCAAAAAAAAAAATTTTTTTTCCATCCTTCATAATGTCGATTGTAAGAAAGTATGACTTAGAAAATTTCTTCTCTATATTACTAGAGATTAAATAATCACGATTAATCACTCAAATATTAACATAATTCCTGGCAAGTTTGTATAGCTATGTGTCAATTTATAAAGTAAATAAATGAGGGCTGGAGATTTAGCTCACTAGTTCCGTGGCCTGTCTTGCAAGTGCAAGGACCCGAGTGCAATCTCTGATACCAAAAAAAAAAAAAAAAAAAAAAAAAAAAAAAAAAAAAAAAAAAGTAAAGAAATGAAGTTTACTGTAAACTTGGAACATCGCATGAGAAGATGCGGTGTTCATGTTCTAAATGTGGAACTTCTAAGGGAAAAGACAAAATCTAGTGCTTATTAAATCCCTGAATTTTTCTCCTGGGAAACAGACCAAGGAATCTTCCCTGGAAATTACTCCCCGAGGATGAGCAAAGGCTGCAGTGTCCTGAATGCACCATATATGAGGCTGACTGGGAGGAGAGGCACACACTGCTCTGTCTCCATTCACAGCTCCTCCTCAGACTCTTCTCAGAAGAAACTTCGGGGTGACGTTTCCATTTGATCAAGACTTGGACAAAATTTCTAGGGTGATATAGTTTTCCTCAGAATTACAAAATGAATGTAGAACAACATAAGGATAAATGACCCCTAGAAAAAAACAAAGTGATTATGAGAATTTTCAGCTAACTATATGGTTTCCTATTTTATTTCTGAGAATTTATTGTGCTTGAAAATTTCCTGAACAGACAACATTGGAAAATATTTTTTTCAGCAACATTGGTGCACAGTAAGTATTATTCTGGGAACTGAAGGGGGTTGTACTAGATAAAATAAAGGGAATTTTACACACAAAAAAATATTTACACATGTCTTTTGGTCCTCACCATAAGTAATATTCAGAATTGTGTAGAAAGGAATGTAGAATATAATGTTTTGCAGAAAATAAAATTTGAATGTGCATGTTAAAAAATGCACTGTTATCAGAGGTTAGTTAGGGTTCATACTGCCTCTAGCTGCCCCTGCTCCATAAACATGTCTCCCTGTGTTAATTTCTGCCAGGGCTTTTATGTACAGGTGACTCCAAGCTCCCTGTCTCCCTTTTCCAAGTTAAAGCAACCTTGATCTCCTGTATGGTATCTGAACATTCTTCTCAGGCAGTCATGATATGTCTGAGACAGAACTTTAATTCTCTCTGCAGTTATTTGAGTGGAAGACAGCAAGAATATTCCTGCTCTCAGCCAGGGGAAGCTGGAGAAGAAGCCTACTTTTAAAAATCAAAAAGTTTAAAAGATTGATTTTTTTGTCTGAATTTATATATATTGTGAAATTTAATATTGATTTGAATCACATAAGTCCCCACACAGAAATTACTTTAATTAATAAAATAAGGCATTGGGAACAAAAGGCAGTGAATAATACGCTGATTATACATCCTTCATTTTTGTTTAAACAACATCTGCTCAGGAGTACAATATTGTAAGTCTTTCTCTGAAATAAAATATCAAGTTCGAGTCAGTGGCTATATATAACTGGTCTTTTTTACATAATTAATCTCTGCACCCTTTTCAGAAGTAAAGTATGTGGGTAAGAGTCCTTATGGTATAGTCTTTCCTGAGAATTGAATGAGTTAATAATGGAATGAGCTTGAAGTAGTCCCAGTTGCATGCTAAAAACAGGGTGGGACCCTTTAATATATCTAATAAATGTCTTTTATCCAAATATCTATACATGTAGATTGTAATTTTTCAATTTTCTTCACAATATTTTCATCAACTTCTAAGAACACTATGGAAAATAGTGAGCCATTAGCATAAACGAAAATATTCTGGAGGCTGTGTAATTTTTAAAATTTATTATTCAGCAGATAAGTGCACCAGGACATCATGGGTAGATGGAACTCCACCAGTATGCCTGGCTTCATCCTCATGAGGCTGACGGACTCTGCAGAGACACAGCTGGTCCTCTCCTTGCTCCTCCTCCTGATTTACCTGATCACAGGGCTGGGGAACTTGGGGATGATATTGATCATCCGCCTTGATCCCCAGCTGCACACCCCCATGTACTTTTTCCTCACTCACCTGTCATTTCTCGACCTCAGCTACTCAACTGTCATCACCCCTAAAACCTTACAGAACTTACTGACTTCCACCAAGAGCACCTCCTTCCTGGGCTGTTTCACTCAGTTGTACTTTTTTATAGTCTTTGTGGCTGCTGAGTGTTTTCTTCTCTCCTGGATGGCCTATGATCGCTATGTAGCTATCTGCCGACCTCTGCACTATCCAGCCATTATGTCCACAAGACTATGCTGTGCCCTGCTTGCTGTTTCCTATGCTACTGGCTTTGTGGATTCCACTGTTAATGTGTTTTATATAAGCAGATTGGACTTCTGTGACTCTAATGTCATCCAGCACTTCTTCTGCGACACTTCCCCCATTTTAGCCCTGTCCTGCAGTGACACATACAAGGTTGAAATCATTATATTCATTTGTGCTGGATCCAATTTAGTGTTTTCCCTCATCACTATACCTGGGTCCTATCTGTCCATCCTCTCCACTATCCTGAAAATTGATTCCACTGCTGGAAAGAAGAAAGCCTTCTCCACCTGTGCCTCCCACCTCCTGGGAGTCACCATCTTCTACAGCACTATGATCTTTACTTACCTAAAACCGAAGACGTCCTACTCCTTGGGAAAGGATCAGGTAGCTTCTGTGTTTTACACGATTTTTATCCCCATGCTAAATCCTCTCATTTACAGTCTCAGAGACAAACAGGTCAAAAAGGCTGTTGTTAGAATCATGCAGAAGAAAGCAGGTTCTAGACAATGAAAACAACAGTCAGGCTAGGTGTTTACACTTTTCCAGTTGTGCTTTTTGCTTTTAACAAATTCTTTGGCCTTTGAGAAAAAATAAATCTTGTTTTTTTTCTCCTATCCTGCTTCTCTACTTAGCAAACATGATCTTGGACATTTTGAGACACAGGAGCTTACAAATTCATATTATAATTTGGAGTTGTCGATGAAGTGTTAGCTCTAACATGCAAAAATCTGTGATGATAAGGAAAACTTTTAGAAAGGAAAAGTTTCGTCATGTAAAAACTGTATCAATATAATATTTATGTATACCCCAACTTTAGAGACCTTTTGAACAAAAAAGCACTTTATTTTTCTTATGTCATTGTGTTTAGTGTGATGTTCAGCAGCAAAGCATGGGACAATTGCTTTCAAGTCAGGTTTACTGCATTTAGATTCAAGATCTGGTGCTTGTGTAGCATTTGACAAATACTAATTTATTTTAATAATACTGAACAGAGAATGTGCCTCGCTGCAGTTCAGGCCAGACTTACAGATGTAGAAGATTCCCCCCATTCCCTCAGCATGTCCACGCTTGTCTAGCCTGGCATCTCAGGAATATTCTTTGTTCTCAACTTTGTTAACTCCCCACCAAACCTGAATGAGGAGTAACTCTGTGCACTGAGATTGCTGTCTGTGATGCCTTTCCAAAGAATTTGCTAAGCTTATATAACTAGTGTTCTTTGTAACTCCTGCAAGCCTGCCCTCTTCTCAGAGTATAACCAGCCCTGCTCAACTCCAAAGTGGGGTTACTCTCTTGGTGTGTAAACCCAGGCTGGCCCACCAGTCCTAAGAATAAAGCTTGATCTACACTTAGACTTGGAGACTCCTGGTGTGCTTTTCACCATCCAGGAAAAAATGCAGCGCATAGGAAACTTTCCTCTTCATGATATATAATAATTCTATGTCTGTCTCATCAGAAGATGGACATAAAACTTTTAAGACAATCAAATAACTGCTGCCCATTATCACCAGAAAGCTCGCACTCCTGGAATATTTTCATATAATGAACAATACATATTCTGAATGGTGTTGCTTTATATTTTACAAATCTCTTTTATTTAATTTAATTCGCAACCGTACACAAACGTACTGTTAGTAACATGAGGATACCAAAGAGAGGTTCTAGTAAAGCAACTATCCATGTCTTCCTGTCACCTAGGACACTTTACCAGTTGTCAGGGTTTTCCTGAGTCAATATGACAAGATATAATAGTAAAAACCTGCATCAATACCCAACACATAGATAAAAGGAAACATCTTTGAAAAGTATTCCAATCCTCTGGAGTAACAGTTATGAAGCCCATGCCAAGAATAAATTCACTCACTATGAGATAGGCAAGACTAAAGATGTCAGGGAAAGAACAAGTTCAGAAAGCCTGTCAGTGGTTCATGGTTTATGTACTCAGGCTTCAGCCTTGCCTTGGCCTGTCAACATCCAGAATTATAGGATCACAGCTTTGAGTGCATGGTCTTGTCACGGTGATCTTTAAGGGATTTGAATTGTTAGTGTGGGGCTCCCAGGAGCTGTTGTGCATGTCTTCTTGATTTGAAAGTGATGAGTGCAGAGCTGTACCTCTGAGACTTTAATAGCTGTAGGTGTGGTTCTGATTACCTGAAGAGTCTGTTGGGACCTAGTTTCTTCTGTGGCCGATTTGGTATTTGCCACATAGTATCCCTAGTCAGGACCTCTCAACTGTCAACTCAGTCTCTACTGTCAAAGATAATAATCACAGAGCTGCCTCCAAAAGGAACCCAGTTACCCATCTGGTCAACTTCCAATCACCATTAGATTCCATGGGAGTGGGGATTTACCGGAGGGTAACTGGAGAAACCTGTCTTCTGCTTTTACAGTGGCTGCTGCACTAAAGCCAATGACTGGCTGGCACAGCAACCACCGTTTTGCGTTTTAAAAGGGACACCTGAAAGGCTAAACTGTCTTTAATCTGAGATGATTTAGAGGAGTCCATTTTACCATTTTAAGCAACTAAATCCAAAGGTAACGTATACAAAACAAGAATAAAATGTTATTTTAACAAAGGACAGTGCATCATAAGAGAAATAAGAATTTGCAAACATTTAATAGATACAGCTTAATAGTAAAGCACTTTTGAAACAAAAACTGAAATAAAGGCTAAAAATTATAGAACCAAAATCAGGATCTATCAAACAAATGTCCAGAGCCTATGAAAGAGAAGGTAAAATCTATGAAACAAAAGACCAAAGTTAGAATCTATGAAAAAAACTTTTACCTTCATCCACTAATCTCACTGTGACCTCCCAAATGTTATAGAGAGAACAGAAGAGATTTTAACTCCCATACCTGCAAGATATCCAAATTTGAAATATGAGTTTGTGTTTTCTAAAATGGAAGAAAGAATTGTAGAAACAATGGACACTAAGAATAGGAAAGTTTATTAAGAGAAAGAAGCTTCTAAGAGAGACCAAAGGTGGATCTGACTGTGTGCTGACCACCAACTGCAACTTTTAAATGTGTTTTATACAAAAGAGACATGTGGTGAGGTGGACGTAAAGTCAGAAAAAACTGTAAGACCAAAGGAAATTTACAAGCAGGGCATGAGCTGGGACCAATCGATAATGAATTGATAAGATTACAAGTACAGTCACCCAAGTAATATTGCTTAAATAAGCATCAAATAGGAAAGATTTCACATAAAAGGAATTTTCAATTTAGAGTACCAATCACCGCTGTAATTCTGAAGCAGAAATAGTACCTTTTTCACTTTTATATAATGCTAACCAGTGAATGTGTCTTAATTGTTTTCCAAGTTGGCTCCTCACTGTGTGGGCTCCTTGAATGTTGGCACCTCGAAGGCTGCCCTGTCTAACTGCCAGTAAGACAATCTAACCAACTTACCTATCTGTAATACTGCTCCATCTGAAGAAATAACCCTAACTGCCATGAGGTGCCAGGGGTGAAGACCCTTCTGGCTGTTTTTTGCTAAGTGGGTAGTAGTTACAATGGGCAGTCAGAGATACTGTTGTTCTATGTACTGGCCCTTGATAGGCACCACGCATTATTATCATGGGTAGCTATAAGTCATGAAGAACTAGTAATAACCTGTCACAAAGACAATAAAGGGAAGATCTAGGGGAATTTAGAATCCAACATAGCAGTTAAGAAATTTTTACAAGGACAACCTGTTAGATCCCACTAGAAAGAAGTCTAGCACATTGGTCTTTGGTTGTATTTCTATGACCATTTGGAGTCAGACAGCCTCTAGGCAAGAACAAATAGAATTTCACAGAAATTAGACCATGTATCATCTAAGTCTGAGCACTAGAGTGGAGGGCAGGTTGGGGAAAGAGTCACACTTAGAAACTGAAAGAGTGATGGTAACTTGTGGTCTCTCAGCCTCTTTTATTGATGGAGCTTATCTATAAGTCTGATATTCTGTTGTCTTTTCAGTGTTAGCTGAGACAAGTTTTTAACAAATTAGCTAAGAAATGTAATACTCTAGTTGAGCCTTTAAAGATTTTACCAAAGCTCCCTGGAAAGCCCACACCTTATACCTCACAAAGAGCACAAAGAAGGCAGACAGAGCCTCCCAAAAGGCGCAGACAGGTAGGCAAGGGGGCCTGACTTAGTGTCTGGGACCTGAGATCCAGCCAAAGACAGGCTAGGATACAAACTAAACTATGACCTGGTCCAGGTGCTACGGGCTGGCATGAAGGGTCCCTAACTCTAATTAATAAGCCTATGGACAAAGGCCTGCACCTGTCCTTTTTATTCCAGACCCTGTGTCCTCTCTGAGGCAGCTCATATCTGTCTGCTTTGTTTTTCTTCCTTCTCACACATAAAGCACCTTCCTTTCTTAAACTTCATCCCTCTAATTTCTTTTGGTGCTGAAATTTTGATCAGGCAGGCTGCTCACCATGGAAGTCATACTCCTATAATTGAATCATGCTTTTACTTACAATGTATTTGCCAATGAAAGTTTTATCAGCACACCCATGTTAATGGCTGTCATAAAATTAATATGTGTCTGAACATTTAATCTACACTTAGTCTACAACAACAAACACACGACACAAAGAAACAAAACAAAATGCAATCCTGACACGTCACTATTGAGTGCAAATATTATTCTTTGCAAATGTATATAATTATGTGACAAAGTGAAAGAAAATAAATAAAGTCTAGCTACAATTTAAGAGTATCATGAGGGAATGTGCTTATGCTCTCCTGTGTGGAACTTCCTAGGGAAAAGGGGAACATTTTTCTCATTTACTCTTAGATCATTCTGCCTTGGCGTCATGCCCAGTATGTGGCCTTGGAGTTGGGCCCAGAGGACAATCACGTGCCACAGTTCCCTGCCTGCTCCTTGATGAGTGGACCCTGAAAACACCAGGCAGGGAAGCAGGGGGCACAGTGTTCTGGTTAATTGCACACTTGCTGGCTGGGATTCTTTTCAGATGAGACTTCCTGGCTAAGTGTCCATTTGATCAACACCTTAAAATATCTTCTAGGATGACTTAATTTACCTGGGAATTAAAAAAGAGGAATGGAAAATAATGTAACAGTGACATGTCAAAAATATCAAAGTAATTTATATCAAAGAAAACAAATATCACTGAAAGTCTCAAGTTGTTGCATTATTTTCATATTTTCTGTCAGAAAAAATACTTGAAATTTTCAAATTTCTACATAGACAGTAGAAGAAAAAGTTGTTTTCACCAAATTTGACTCATAGTAAGTATCACGCCTACAATTGTTGTGTTTTAGAAAAGGTGAAATAAAATAGGTATTTTGTCATAAGATTATGTGCATACACATTTAAAGCTTATCAAAGTAATACTGATGTATTCAAAGAAGGAACAGAGAGATGGTAGAATTGTGGTCAGCACTGCCAATTGTAACGTTAAAGCTAAGGTTTTTTTGTTTTGTTTTGTTTTGTGTTGTTCTTTTAGAGAAAAATGTCTTCCTAAGGCCAAAGGCATAAACAGCCTGCCTCAGGAATGAGTAGCAGCAGCATGTGTTTAAAAATATCTCAATATTTACAAAGTTATTTGAAACACTCAGTATTGGTACATGTATTCAGTACTGCTTTACTATAGGAAGTGTATAATCTTAGTGGGCCTCACCTCAGTTTACTAACATGTAAAAGTGATTTGTAATTAATCCCAAATAGTACTGAGAGCTAAAAGAGAAAAAAATAGTAAACTGAAGTTATTTTCCTTATTCTTTATTCCATATCCTTGCTCAAATTTGCAAAAGTAAATTATAAACAGGAATGCAGAAATGTTGGCATTCTCTCAGCAGGCAAAATATGTTGGTAGAATCCCAGTGATAAGAAGTAATTGTTCTGATTTCACAAAAGTTCATTTCTGTGCCCATTTTGAGATCTAAAACTCTGAGGATAACTGTGAGTATGGCATAAAATCTATGTGTGGATTAAATGTGCTAATAAAGAAAATATTTAGGGTGTATCATTTTCAAGCTAATTCTATAGGACATAGCTATTTATCATGTCAGAAGCAAATGTCAAAACTTACCATTTTCTCTATCTGACATTTGAGTATTTTTTGTTTTTATTCAGCAAAGATTTTGTCAATTCCAAGGAAGAGTAAACTAATTAAAGTAACAACTTGGTCATTCATACAAACAGAACCTATTTTCAGTCACTCAAACTAAGTATCAAATTTGATTACTAATTAGTTTGGTTTCATTTTTCTTTCTTTCTTTCTTTCTTTCTTTTTTTTTTTTTTTTTTTTTTTTTTTGTACCAGGGATTGAACTTGGGTCCTTGTGCATGCAAGGAAGGCCACCGAACCACTGAGCTAAATTACTAATTGGAAATATTGCACCATGAGTAGAAGAAACTCTACCACTGTGCCTGGCTTCATCCTCATGGGGCTGACGGACTCTGCAGAGACACAGCTTGTCTTCTCCGTGCTCTTCCTCCTGATTTACCTGATCACAGTGCTGGGGAACTTGGGGATGATATTGGTCATTCACCGGGATCCCCAGCTGCACACCCCCATGTACTTTTTTCTCACTCACCTGTCATTTCTCGACCTCAGCTACTCAACTGTCATCACCCCTAAAACCTTACAGAACTTACTAACTTCCACCAACAGCATCTCCTTCCTGGGCTGTGTCACTCAGATGTTCTTTTTCATCCTCTTGGCTGGTACTGAATGCTATCTTCTCTCCTCCATGGCCTATGACCGCTATGTAGCTATCTGCAGCCCCCTGCGGTATCCAGTCATTATGTCCACCAGACTATGCCATACTCTACTCAATGGTTCCTATATAATTTGTTTCATGGAATCCACTACGGTTTCAATTTTTATAAGCAGACTGGATTTCTGCAAATCTAATGTTATCCAGCACTTTTTCTGTGACATACCCCCAATTTTAGCCCTGTCCTGCAGTATCACCTATGAGGGTGAAAGAATTGTATATATTTGTGCTGGATCCAATTTAGTGTTGTCCCTCATCACCATATCTGGATCCTATCTGTCCATGCTCTCCACCATCCTGAAAATTAATTCCACTGCTGGAAAGAGAAAAGCCTTCTCCACCTGTGCCTCCCATCTCCTGGGAGTCACCATCTTCTACAGTAGTACGATCTTTACTTACCTAAAACCGAAGACGTCCTACTCCTTGGGAAGGGATCAGGTGGCTTCTGTGTTTTACACCATAGTGATCCCCATGCTGAACCCTCTCATTTATGGTCTCAGAAACAAAGATGTGAAGAATGCTCTTGTTAGAATCATGAAGAAGAAAGAGTGTTGCGGGCAGTTTATATCACAGTGGTGCTAAGCATTTATACTTGTCTTCTCATTTTTTAATGTGATGATTCTTTATCTGTTTTAATAAAAAATTTGCTTTGTTTGGTTTTTTACTTCTTTTTTCCTCTACAGCTGCCCATTCCTTATCAAACATGAGAGAGGACATTTCCACATTTTATAGACCTATACATCATTTGGCAAGTATGAAATGTATCTTAAATCTCTGAGTAAATATATGTGGTTTCAAGGGTAACAAATGTGCAAATGAAGAAAATGTGTTTGTCATATAGAAAACAACATCATACCATATTCACACATTCTCTAATTTATAGAATTTTATATTCATCATTTTGCTTATAATAGGGATTAAGGGCAACAATATTTTCAGAAATGGCTCTAAAGTCAAGATTTGCACATTTAGATTGTAGTCCTGCCTATTTTCCAGCGTACAACCCACTTTAATTCACTGAAATTCTTATAGTCAGTGTGAGTGATTAACAGTGCAAAATATGTAATAACCTCATGCCCATCTGCTCAGAAGGTGGTTTGGTTGTAAACCATTTCACGCAGTAACAATGAATACTATTATCATCACATGCCTTATGAATTACTATAAAATTTATTGTGCAATACATTTTTGAATAACATTTTTTCATGTTTTATGAATTTGTTGTTAATTTAATATATAAATGTAACACCTACAATGGTAAAAAATAAAGCCAGGAGTTAGCAATTTTGGACTTAGAATACAATTAATTATTGAATTACAACAAGTTTATAACAAAGGAATATTTTCCAATGATGAAGACAATTTTGTAAATGACATTATTAAAGAAAAAGGAAATATTGTGTTAATTAGTGACAATCCTGTGCATGTTCTTCTAGATCAGTCATTATAAATATGCCTATATATTTAATATAATTTTCTGTAATTTCTTGTACAATCCTTTTTTGTTTAAGTTTTATATCTAATAATCTGTGTGAGCTCATCATGCAAGATTAAATTGTTTTCAGCATATGAGCAATATTTAGACTCTTACTGAGAATATTTTGCTACGTTCATAAGGTGGTTTTTTCCTTCCACTTTTATGTATTTGCATGAGTTAAAAAATGTATACTATTGATTTTTGTTGACAAACCTTCAGTAGAGTGTCTGACTAGAAAGCCATATTTAAATTGAAGAAAATTTCTAAATTTAAATAAATTATAACTATTTTTTAATTACACAGGGTATAAAGTTTTTATATCATGTTATTAAATAAGCATAATATAATCTCTTGGCCAAAATAAAAATTTAAATTATTTGCATGTGCCCAATCATTTATTTCTCATATCACTACATAGCTTATGTAATGGAAGTTGTTTCTCTGAAATAATGTGAGATCTCGTGCCCTCTTTCACGGTGACAGGTCAGAGTGCTATATGCCATTAACATGATTTTTAAAAGAGCCCAATGGCAGAACAGCAAAATACTAACACCTGGCTTTGCTTTCTAATAATTATTGGCTAGATAGCAAGAGTGCTGTTACACTTTACTAAAACAGGCATTACTGAACCAAGTATAATGTTCAATGTTTTGTACAGATTCAAATAGGTCACTCTGTGCCTGGCTTTGGGGGCTAAAGCTCCAAAGACACAAGTATAAAAGGAGATGCAGAAAATGAACTTCGTAAAGGAAAGAATAATATCAGTCTCTCCTGTCTTTGGCTCTGTTATCTTCTTCTACATTTTCAAAGGGAGGTCATGCAGTTTTCTGTGTGAAACTGCCCTGCAGTTACTTTATAATTTTATTCATTCCATTTTTCTAACATTCATTCTGTTTAGATAATCTTTGTCACTTCATTTTCAACTTCATGGTTATTTCTAAATTTTCAGTGACTCCACTGATGACTGTAGTAGGATTCCAGATATGTAATTTTGTGTGGATGCGTGTATGTGTGTATGTTTGTGTATTTCCAATGTGATACCAAATACTTTCCACAACTTCCATCTACCCAGTGTAAATTCTGAGAAATTCATGCATGTTGTTTACCCTCTCCACTAGAATGTTTATTCAAATGACCCTGGATGCTTTTAGAAATATACTACCAGGCATGTATGTATTTGAACCAGTTGATCATATTAGCTATTCTTAAACATGTTTGATAGTGATGAACAGAGAAGAGTTGGAGAGTTAACACAAGCTCTTTCAAATACACATTCACTGGTTGTCATATCTGCTTGTGTGTGGCTTTAACTGGGGTTTAATGTGTAGCTGAGATTCCTCTGTGCTTGCAGTGGTTACATCTTGCTTCCACATTTTGCACAAAGTGATCAATTTCAGGGGTCCTGGGTTTTCTTAGAGGGGACCTGTCTTTGGTGTTTAGATTATGTAAATGAATATGAATTCAAACTTGGGAAAATCTCACTAAAATTATGCATTTGTAGATTAACTGTATTTTTAAAAAAGAGTAGAGGAAGTTTTATTTTAGGTTGTTATGTGCCAATGGATCCTCTCTTATCCATCGCTTTTACATAGAGGATCATTTCTATGTATAACCCCCCATTTACCAGTGCACTATCCACTTCTGAATCTTGAAAATAAAATGGTTCCTCTGGTCAGCCCTTCTCTCCTGAACCCTATCCATGTTGTTCTTCTACTACTACATTGTTTCTTTGCTCACACCTTCTTTTTTATTCTTTCCTGTTTCCTCCATCCTTTCTACCCCTCCATCTCCTGGTTGTACCTGCTCCTTGCTATCTTCCTTCCTCCCTCCCTCCATCCCTCGCTCTCTCAATCTTTCCCATCTTCCTTCCTCCCTCCTCCTTCCTTCCTTCCTTTCTTCCTTCCTTCCTTCTTTTCTTTCTTTCAATTGTCTTATACTTCTGGGACTGTATCCTATTAGTTCAAGCCCAAAACATGTAAAACCTACATGTTCTAATGAATGTAATGACTTATGAAATCCAGTGGAAATCATTTCTACAAAGTACTTTGTATACAGTAATATTCTTTCTTATTTCTGTCACTGAATTCATAAATATCTTCAATGTTAAAGTAAAAATATCAGGTAATTTCTTCATGCATAGTAAACTTGTAAAACTGATTTTTGTTGCTAGGCAACTTAACATAATTTGGATGTCATTCTGTAGAGATATGTGGCATGGAGCCAAGTATTTCAAAATTTGCATACAGTATTTTCAGTATCCCAGTATTTGGGATGTAATGAAATAGCACAACAAAGTCATGGACGTATAAGATACAGTCATTCATAAAATTGTCCAGTGGCTAATAATCTGCATAGGTATGCACAGTGTGACTCTTGCAAGGCAGGAGATTTTTCTCATTGACAGGATTTCTACTTAGTTTTGTAAATGTTAAGAAAAAGACAGTTGAACTATGATGAATAGGCAAATTTATTTCAGAAAATTTACATAACAATAGGCTAGGCAATGTCAAGATCCCCCAAATATAAATACCCATTTCCAAAATGAGTGTCTGAAGTGAATGGACATTTCTCAGACAAAGAAGTAAAAGCAGCAAATAAAAATGTTCAACATCACTCATCATTTGAGAGATGAAGATGAAAACAACACTGAGATTCTATCTCACCTCAGACAGAATGGTTGCTATTAAGAAACCAACCAAAAAGAAATGCTGGCAGATTTATGGGGAGATGGGATGCCTTCTTCATTGTTGGTGGGAGTGCAGACTGGTGCAACCACTGTGGGAATCAATATAGAGATATCTTAAACAATTAGGATTAGAAGTCCCATTAGACCTAGCTATTCCACTGTGGGGTATCTTCCCAAAATAATTAAAAGAATCATACCACAATGATATATTCTCACCCATGTTTATAATGGCACAGTTTGTAGTAGCTAAAATTTAGAAATAGCCCAATTGCAAATGAACTGGAAACTGGATAAGAAAGATTTTTTTTTTAAAGTAAAGTACCACTTAGCCATAAAAAATGAGAAACTAGAGATATTTGTAGCTAAATGGAATCACATAGAGGCCATACTCTTAAGTGAAATTAATAAGCCATACATGTGTGAATATTGAACAGTTTTCATGTGTGCAAAACAAAGTGTAAATGAGGATCAAATTGTATAACTGATATTTCATAATATTGGGAGGTGCCCGAGAGATGTTCCAAGGCCCTGTGGTCTTAGTGCGGACACTGAGGGGAGTACCATTATGCCTGAGACACTTTCCAATTTTTCTGGAGTTAATCTGATCTTGTCTGAGGGTAAAGATACTTCTGGGTCTTCTGGGGAACAATAGTCCTTGATAGTCTGTTCTCAGGGCCCCTCCTAAGTTGGGATAGGTCACTGAGGTGGCCCGCTGGTCTGGTCTGGAGTGGATGTGGGTCCACCAGTCTGGGAAATCCCCAAGGAAGTGCCTGGAATCTTTTAACCTCTGAATGCTGTGGCATGATCAGGTGAGTGACTGTAATTGGCAGCAGAAATTTGGGCTGCCCCATCCTCCTCCTATGAGAAGAAGGGAACTTCTCCCCCTTGGAGTTCCAGATTCTGAGTGAGGTCACACTGTGACTCCCTGGATGCATCTAAGAAACGCCAAGTGGATGCTCTTGCAATGAGATAAATGCACCCTAAAGCCCAGATGGTCCTTAAAGTGGCTGAGAGGCCCGAAGCCATTCAACCAACTGAGTGACTCTTCCCCATAGAGGAACACACCTTTCCTCTATGATTCTCCACATTTTTCAAGGCTGCACCACATAAATACTAAGGCTTTTTTCCCCATGCCCAGATGACCCCATTGTCCCTAAACACTCGGACCTCTCTTCTTCCTCTGAATTGTGCCTAACCTCTTCACAGCGGGACTCCCCTGACTGCTTTCCCATCTGTCTTATCCTCCACACACTGTCCCTTCTGCCTCTCCAACATACATTGGGACAACCTTCACTGGCTCTGACAGGGCCAAAGTCTCTATCTTCTGGGTCTATGTGCTCAGCATTTTTCTCTTGACTGGAACCCACAGGTTTTCATAATGCAGGTGCCCTTCAGGTTTGAGATTGGCCTGACTTCAAG